TAATAAGACATTGACTTTATTCTTTGACAATTTCATATATACATAATGTATTTTAGTCATTTTTGCCCCCCATTACTCTTGTCCTCCTCCCATTCCTATTTAACCCCTCGTTCCCAACAAGCTCTTCTCCTACTTCCATTCTTTTCTTGTTTTATATGAGGTTATTTTGTTTGTGTGTGTGTGTGTGTGTGTGTGTGTGTGTGTGTCATTGAGTTTAATTGGGGTTGCTTGCATAATAATACATTGAAACTCATGAAGACCTGGATCATTTTTCAGGCCCCACATTCTTTGGTGGTATGCGGGGAAGTGAACTTTGTTATTAAAATAAGCTCTTTAAAACAAATTAGGTTTCACTAATAACTTTCAGTGAATCAATGCTTAAACAAGCAGCTGTAGCCAGTTCCGACTGAGCAAAGACCAAAAATCCTCTACTTTCAGCCAATGATTAACTGTGAACTACTCATTAGGAAGAATAGGAGATAAGAAAAGTTAAATTATAAATGAAAGAAAACATAATGAAAATAGAATAGTGTTATATGTAAAGCATTTTATACATCAAAAAGAAAATACAGAATATCTCCTTTACAGAATGGGCAGTGAATGGACAATTCAGGAAGAAAGTCATATAAATAGCCAATAAAAATGTTCAGCCTCAGCATCAGATGCAAACTGAAATAAAAAGGTACTGTTTTTGTCCCCCTGTTTATCTTTTTAAATTGATAATATCTATAAGTAATGAGAATGCATCTTCATGATTTATTGTTGGGTGTGTAAATTCACATAAACCTATTTTTTCAATGCTGGCTCTAAACCTGAGCTGTACCCCAACCCCACACAAATGTTCTAGAATGCACTTTGGAATTACCTCACCAAAAGAGCAATCCCCTCTTCCCAGAAGGAGTCCTAAGGAACCAGTAAAGGACATGTGCAGTTGCATTAGACAGTGGCCCTTGGAATGGGTTCAGTAAGCAATGAATTGATAGATTGAGATAGAAACTAACACGTAAAAAAGCCAGGTGTGATGACTGCCTTGTAATTCTAGCACTGGGAAAGGCAACAGGAAGATTCCTAGAGCTCACTAGCCAAGCAACTTCACCTACTTGTGAGTCCTAGGTCCAAAAAACAAGGTGGACAGTGCCTGAGGAACAACACTTGAGATTGACCTTGCCTCTACAAGCATGCTTATAGACAAACATGCATGTGCACACATGAACATGAGCATACACCCACACATACCCAACCACACACACACACATACACACCACCACATTTCAGCCTTACATGGAATCTTGAAAATAACTCAGAAGACTATCACTATTAGAAGTGATAAATATGTTATGCTACAGTTATTAAATGGATTCACATATAGCTGCCCAAAAGAATAAGACTCTTTCATACATATAGATGTGAGTGGTCACTAAGGTTAAGTGGCAAAAGGTTCAGAATACTATGTCTCTAATGATTCTATCTTTACAAAAAGGAATAACTCAAGCTGAGTGAGTACATGTTTATATAAACACAGAAGTATGTATTCAGGTACCATAGAAACACATAGAAAAGGTTTAGACCAGCACCGTCCAAGAGAACTTTGCATGAGGGAAGTATCTCATGTATGTACCCTCAAGAATGGGAGCACAAGCTAAACATCTGAAGGTTGCTATGTGACTGTTAAGTTTTATTTAGGTGTTGTGGTGGTAGAAGGTATTTTTGGTTTGAGGTTTGGTGGGGTGTTTCTGGTTTTTTTGTGTGTTTTTTTAAAAAAGAGTTTCTTACAGCCCAGGCTGGCCTCAAACTCACTATAAAGTCCAGGATGACCATTAAGTCCCAATCTTCCTGCTTTCATCTTCCCCTAAGTGCTGGGATTATAGGTCTGCACCACCATTCCCAACCTAGTTTTAATTAATGTAATTGTGAATAGCCACCTGTGACTGGTAGCTATGATTTAATACATCTTTAAAGACTATCAGCCAGGTGTGGTGGTGCACGCCTTTAGTCCCAGCACTCATGAGGCAGAGGCAGATAGATCTCTGTGAGTTCAAGGCCAGCCTAGTCTACATAGTGAGTTCCAGGCCAGCTGGGGCTACAGGGAGACCCTGTCTCAAAAAGATCAAAAACAAACAAAACAAGCATGCATGAATGCATACATACATACATACATAGAGATATATAGATATGTTTATGGGATTCTGTGACCACTATCAGTAGGTAGAAATCCTGGCCCTTCTCTCACATGCACTACTATCAGAATCAAAGTGTCCACATGTATCCCTCTCCCTGCTAGAAATTCTGTGATGGATACGGGAGCTTCCTTTTCAGTGATTAGATTCATGGGCAGTGTTGAAAATAGCCTTGACCTCCTTCTCAGGCAGAATTCTTGTAGTCAAGAGGAACTCATGAAGGGGAAAGTAGCACTGTAGAGTTTGCAAGAGGATGTTTCCATTTGCTAATGATTTACCAGTAGGTGAAATTTAATTTGTAATGTACTGTTTTTAAAGATTCTAATTTTATAAATGTTACATGAAAAACTGTTCTAAAGTAAAACAAGTAATTATCTGTATTTATTGTTGGGGGAATTATATTCTCTAGGATTTCGAGCAGTCAAATTTACTTTGCACACCAGAGATCTGCTAAGCACAGTATTATATATTCTCAACTCCTGCAGTTTGCCTGTTGACCATATCCAAAGCTCCAACACTAATGTGCATTCCCAGCCTCTCAAAGAAGCTACAGGGATGCCTGACAGGCCCATCAAATGGCACAAGTCCTACTACTCCTTTACTGGATTCAAGGACCCTGATGAAGACCTTGAACATGCCTCAAAGGTGGAAACAACCCTAATGTAAGAAAATGGTTTGCTTTAAATGGCCAGATGCAATTCATGTTTTCACACAGTTCTATTTTAATCATCCATCCTGAAAAAAAAAGACACCAGATGTAGTGGCACATGGCTATAATTCCAGCAGTTGGAAGGCAGAGGCAGGAGGATCAAGAGATCAAGGCCAGTCAGGCATACATAATGAATCCCTGCCTCAAAAACCAAAATGGAAGAGAGGGAGGGAGATAACTTTATAAACTATCATCCTGAATAGATGAATGAGAAAGAATATTTTTTTTTTTGTCTTTGAGACAGGGTCTCCCTGTAGCCCCAGCTGTCCTCCTAGAACTCACTATGTAGACCAGGCCGACCTTGAACTCTCAGAGATCCGCCTGCTTCTGCCTCCCAAGTGCTGGGATTAAAGGTGTGTGCCACCACGCCCGGCCAAGAAAGAATATTTTTAAATTATAAAAACTAGATATGAAATGTATGATATACCTTCTTTATAAAGCCACCATTAATATTTGATGGTTTTATGTTTTGGTGCTTATTTGTTTGGGAAAGAGGTTCACAAAATACTGTTAAATGAAACAAAGCTGATTGCAAAACACTCTGCACAATATGAACCCATTTTTATAAAATATATTTTGCAAAGTAAAGGAACAAGTTAAACTTATTGAAGTATTAGCATTGGTTCTTTCAACATGGCAGGATGCTTGTTGATATTGCTTAAGCCTAATGGTTTGTTTGGTTTTTTGGTTTTTACATTTTTATAGTATGTGTATAAGTACTTTCCACAGAGGTCATAAGAAGACATTGGATCCCCTGAAACTGGAGTTACAGATGGTTATTAGCCACCATATGGGTGCTGGGAACCAAACCCAGGATCTGTGTCAAGGTGAACATAGGACTGGAAATGCCTGGCCTAATGGGTATAGAAAAAAAAAGTGAGATTGTGGGAGTGGAGGCAAAAAGCAAAAATGATGCTATTGGACCTTACTCAGCTAAGGGGCTTAAAGGATAAAGTATTAGAGAATCTCAGAGGGTTGGAAAGATGGCTCAGTATTCAGAGCACTTGATGCTCTTGCAGAGGACCAGAGTTTGGTTCCTAGCACCCACATCAGATGACTCACAACTGCCTATAACTCTAGTTCCAGGGGATCTGATGCCCTTTTCTGGACTCCTCGGGCACCAGGCATGCACATGGTGTACATACATACATACATACATGCAGGCAATTACACATACATATAAAATGAAAATAACTTTTTAGACAAAAGAGTTTCAGAAAAGCAGTAATGCTATGGCTCAATTGATCGTTTGTAAAGGACAGTTTGATAATCAGCAAGATCTTCAGCATTCTTTATCTAAATTAAGTTTTCATAATCTCTTCATTAAATGTTCAATACAATGCATGTCCTTAATGCATTAGATAAACTTTATTTTATTGTGCTAGATAGTGATTTTTCAAGGATAGAGAACATGCGACAGTCATCACTGTTCACTAATCTGCATCACAGACTCATAGAGCCAGCCAGTACCTTTACTGACCTGAATTAAAGAACTGTGGAATAAATATGGAGGCTAGAGGTGTAGATCAGTGGTAGAGTCCATGCCAGCAGGTGTGAGTTCTATCCCAAGCCCTGGAAAAGTAAACAAACCACTGCTGGAATAAGAATGTGATGCACTGGAAGGTCAGGAGAGCATATTCAGAGTTTAGTGTGGAAGCAAGAAGTTGTTTAGTACAGATGTTTGGCAGAGATGGAAGTGACAGTTGTAAAGGCACGGGTCACTTTTCTTATGTGCTCCTGTTAATTAGGATTTACTAGAAATATTTGCAGGTTTTAGCAAGAGATACATTGTCTTAAGAATATATTTTTGGGGGCTGGAGAGATGGCTCAGCGGTTAAGAACACTGGTTGTTCTTGCAGAAGACCCAGGTTCGAATCCTAGCACCTACATGGCAGCTAACAACTCCAGTTCCAGGGGATCCAACAGCCTCTTCTGTCCTCCATGGGCATTGCATGACACAGGTGCACTTACCTACACACAGGCAATACACACATACACATAAGATAAAAATAAATGAAAAATATTTTTTAGAAAGAATATGTCTTTGTTTAGATGACATTTGCTGTTATGAATTCCTGATTTCTTCCAAAGTATGGTTTGTTTTAAATTCAGGCTCTAATTTTGATGATTATCAGAGAAGCTCAGAAAGTTTCACTCTGGATTGTATGCCCTTAAGGAAGAGAGCTGCTTTATAAACCACTGATTGGGAGTTAAAGGCAGGGAAAATTGATCACTGTATTCAGTTCAGTTTTCATTAGCCATTTATCATAACATTGAAGTGAACCTATCATTAGGTAAATAAAATCTTTCATAGCTTCATAAGATGAAATTAATAGTGTCATAGCATAATAGTAGACAGGACTTCAAAAAGGCAATTGAGTTGTAGCTTTGAGCATTGATATTTTAGAAATTTACCTGAACCAGATCATCAAGCCTTATAGAGTCTGAGTTTAGCTTTAAACAAGTATAATTTTCTAACTGAAGGTCTGGGCCAAGTAGGATGAGAGAGGACAGCATCTCACTAAACAAAGGCAAGAGAAGAAACCCAAAGAGTAAATGCTGTGTAGACTGAGTACCTTTACCAGTGTGCCTCAGAGCTGACACTGGATTTATGAGACCTCTATAATTTGAAGAATTTTATGTCTCTTATTTATCCAAATGTGTTAGTGACCTTCTCATGATGGACACAAAATGCCTAAGATACACAGTTTACGAGGAGGAAAGTTCATGGTGTCAGAAGCATTAGCCCATGGTCATTGGGCACTTTGCTTTGGTCCTGCATCAGGCAGCATAGTACACCACGGTGGGACTGTATGGTGGAGGAATCCTGGCATCCTCATGGCAGATAGGAAGTTAAAAAGAAATTGAAAGGGGCTGGAGCCTCAGTATCCCTTTCCTTTTTTTTTTTTTTTTTTTTTTTGGATTTTTCGAGACAGGGTCTCCCTGTAGCCCAGCTGTCCTGGATTCACTAGGGAGACCAGGCTGGCCTCAAACTCACAGAGATCCGCCTGCCTCTGCCTCCTGAGTGCTGGGATTAAAGGCATGTGCCGCCACACCTGGCTCTCTTTCCTTTTTTTTACTTATTTTTAATTTTATATGTAAGAGTGTTTTGCCTGCATGTATGTAAGTGCACCACATGCACGCAGTGGCCACAGAGGCCAAAAGAGGGCATCGGATCCCCTGGAACTGAAAGCCTGACATGTGGGTGCTAGGAACCAAACCTCAGTCCTCTGCAAAAACAGCTGGTGCTCTCAACCTCTTAGTCATCTCTCTAGCACCTCCAGAATCTCTTTCAAGATGCCCCAGTGACCTAACTTCCTCCCACTAGGCCCTTCTTCCTAAAGGTCCCACCACCTCCCATTAGCTTCACTGGGAACCAAGTCTTCAGCCTATGACCTTTATTTATCATAATACAGAAATGGCAATATTTTTTACTAATAGTCTTTGTTGTTTGAGACAAGGGTCTCTGTGTTTTCCAGATTGTTCTCAGACTCCAGGGCTTAGTGATTCACCTGTCTCAACCTCTCAAGTACCTAGGACAACAGGCATGTATTACCATACCCAGATCCCAGTATTCTTGAACTGGGTATAGGAAGAATTAACATGCCAAGTTAGTAAACCAAAGTTAATGGCCATATTTTCCTATCAGTAAGGACCTGGTTACTGCCATGCAAAACTTCATGGTCTGGCCCTTCCAGCCCCCTTCTCTTCTGTCTCATCTCAGGCCCTCCCCTTCTGCAGGCATCATCTGATCTGGACATAATGGTTCATCTGAAGGTCCACATGCATGTGTTTGATTGTCACACCCTTCTTCCTCACCTACTTGGAAAAATCCATGCATATCACCTGTTGAACAGAATCTTTCAGGTGAATTAAATTACTGCATCCTCTCTCACAGTGGCTATGATGCTATAGTCTCCTTTATAGCTGTGTCTTCTTTACAATGGGGACTTTATCTTCCCTATATTCCCAGCACAACACCATATCACATATTTGGGATAAGTATTTTTCAATAAATTTATAATAATTTTGTTGTCTTGTAGATGTTAAATTTATAATGCTCTAGATCACATCCAAACTTTGAAAATGTCTGCCAAGGAACATTTTATCTTCTGCCTAGCACTTTTGAGATGGACATTTGAGCTCTCTGCAGTATATTACATAGCCATCAGGGACAAAGCCCACATGAGGTTTTCAGGTATCCCTCACTGAGGAGCTATGTGACTGCTGTGTTCACTCTTTAAATTGTTTCTTGCCTCCTCTCCTGGAGTTTTGACTTGCAGAGGCATGCCTAGGGCTCACCAACTCCCACATTGAAAATGTTCCCCTTGGTTCAGGCACTTTGCCGTTCTGTATGCACACACACACACACACACACACACACACACACATACACACATGCTGCAAACAGGACATTTTCAGCCCACTTCCACCCCACCCCCCAGACTCCACTCAGGTGCCTCATTTCTCCAAAGTTCTTTGGTGGGCCAAAGATAGCAAGCCTGTGTCCAGTTGCTTATAGCATAGTGAGAGACATATCCAGGGTAGTACTACACTTGAAGCCAATGCAAACTACCTTGCAGTTCCTGACAGTTACCCCACCCCCTAATCCTCAGAGTATTTTGTAGCTTTTATTTTTCTTTATGAGGCTATTGAGGAAAATACTCCAAGAAATAAGAATAATAGCTGGCGTGGTGGCGCACACCTTTAGTCCCAGCACTTGGGAGGCAGAGGCAGGCAGATTTCTGTGAGTTCAAGGCAAGCTGGGGTTACAGGGAGACCCTGTCTCAAAAATACAAAGGAGGAAGAGGAGGAGGAGGAGGAGAGGAGGAGGAGGGGGAGGAAGAGGCATCTTTTCTGCTGAGCCTATTTTATTATGGAGTTGTTGAGTTGAGACTTTAGCTGGATACTGGGTTGGGTGAAAAGGAATGGACATCCCGTGTTGCAAAGAAGGCTACCTAAGGAAGTAGGCATTCTGGAAACTCTGTGGCCAAAGAGCTAAAGTGATAAGGTCTGGCCAGTAGAAAGACTTGGGTAGAGAGATGAGGGAGTTAGCTTTGAGGTCATGGGGTACTGAAACCCTAGATTAAAATCAAAGGAGAAATTAATTCTGTGGGGCTAGAATCCATAAGGCAATCTTCAAGATCCTCATCAGGACTCATCCTCTCCAACTGTGGCTCTTGACCTTCACTTTCCAGCCTTTGAGTGCTCCCACATGATTTTCATTCTTGCTATATAGTTATTCTTAGTTCTGCCCGCCTATGTGTAACTGTCCAGAGTGAAGAGCCAATGCAGCCAGGGGAGCCTTGCAATAAACAGAAATTAAAGGCTTAGGAGAATCTTGACGTTCTCTAGAATTATTTCATCTCTAGAAACCTAGTGACAGGTTTTCTATGATTAAATTAAACTTTTTGCAATGCATAAAGGTGACTGGGCAGAGGGGCCGGCAGTTCTTAAGCAATGACATAATAAACTTGTTAGAAGTAAAGGTTTGACTAACAACTCAGGTTAACATTAACAGGACCTGAAGATAGTGTGTGTTTAGGTTGTTGATTTGTTTTGTTTTTTTGTTTGCAGTGCCAAGGATGAAACTGAGGGCCTCAGTGTACTAGGCATGCACTCCACCACCAACCTTCATCCCTGGACAAGTGTGTATTTTAAAAGAAGAAACAGGAACAGTATAGTTAAAGTGTATTATCTGTCCTTGTCCTAGGTCCTGGTTAGGTAGCAATGGAAAAAGTGCTGTTAAAAAACTGAAGAACAGTTTACCACTTAGGAATGAGCTGGATCGTTTAAAGGATGAACTGTCTGATCTTCTGCAACTCTCAGACATCAGGTAATGAAGAAGATAATCTAACGCACATGTGAAAATATGCAGGTGTTGGGCTGGAAATGTGGCTCAGTTAATAGAGTACTTGCTTAGCATACAATAGACCCTGGATTTCATCCCCAGCACCACATAAACTGGCCATGGTGGTGCATACCTGTAATTCTGGCACTCAGGAGGTAGAGACAGGAGGATCAAAAGTTCGTCTTTGGTTATGTAATAATTCCACACACATGCACACACATGGTGGTTTTTTTTTTTACATAACAGCAAAAAAATTCAGGACTTACCTGCTGCTAACACTTTCTAGGAGTTAGATATTTGGGTCTTTAATTTATCTGACAATTAAGCATTCTTCAGTTGGCATTATGTGAATATAATCAAATGATCATCTATAAGAACACAATTATTTTCTTTTTTAAATACTTTATTAATTTTATTTTATGTGTATGATTGAGTGTATTGCCTGCATGTATGTGAGTGCACCCGTGTCGTGCAATGCCGTGGAGGTCAGAAGAGGGTTTCAGATTCCTCTGGAACTGGAGTTAAGGACAGTTCATAGCTGCCATGTGGGTGCTGGGAAGTGAACCCAGGTCCTCTGCAAGAGCAGTCAGTGCTCTTAACCACTGAGCCATCTCTACAGCCCAGAACACAATTATTTCCATTTAAAACATGGCAATAAGCCGGGCGTGGTAGCACACACCTTTAATCCCAGCACTTGGGAGGCAAAAGCGGGCGGATCTCTTTGAGTTCGAGGCCAGCCTGGTCCACATAGTTCCAGGACAGCTGAGGCTACAGGGAGACCCTGTCTCAAAAAGACGAAAATACAAAAACATGGCAATACGTTTGTGGTTATTTTGTTTTATTTTTGAGACAGGGTCTCCCTGTAGCCTCAGCTGGCCTAGAACTCACTATGTAGACCAAGCTGGCCTCAATCTCACAGAAATCCATCTGCCCCTGCCTCCCGAGTGCTGGGATTAAAGGTGTGTACCACTACACTCAACTTTTAGTTGCTTTTTAAAAAATCAGGTATCCCAGCCGGTTATGGTGGTGCATTTATTCCCAGCATTCGGAGTCAGAGGCAGGCAGATCTCTGAGTTCAAGGCCAGCTAGTTGAGGCTACAGGGAGACCCTGTCTCAAAAAAGACACACACACACACACACACACACACACACACACACACACAAAATCAGCTATCCCTTGGAGCTGGCAAGATGGCTCAGTGGGTAAAAAGTACTTGCAGGCAAACCTAACAGCCTGAGTTCCATCCCTGGACCCTACATAAATGTAGGAGAGAACCGACTCCACAAAGTTGTCTCTGACCTTGATATAAATGCTATGGCACATGTCCCCACATATGTATCACTCACACACAATAATAAAAAAATTTTTTAGTCATCTAATACCACATATAGTAGGACACACCTGTAACCCCATCACTAGAGAGGCTAAAGAAGGAGAAGCACCTCAAGTTCAAATCCAATCTGGGTTACATAGTGAACACCTTGTCTCAAAAACCAAAAGAGGCAGGGTATGGTAGTTCATGCCTTTGATCCCAGCACCAGGGAGGCAGAGGTAGGCGGATTGCTGAGTTCAAGGCCAGTCAGGTCTATACAGCAAGTTCCAAACCAGCCAGGGCTACATAATGAGATCTGTCTCAAAAAAAAAAAAAGGGGGGAGCTGACAGGATGACTCATTGGGTTAAAAGCCTTTACTGTGCAAGCCTGATCACCTGAGTTCAATTCCCACAGTGGAAGGAAAGAACTGACTCCTGAAAGTTGTCCTCTGACCTCTTATGCTGCATGCTGTGGCATAGTGCACTTCTATACACACATTAAAAACATGCACAAACACAATAATAATCATACATAAATAAATGTTTAAAGATAGAAGAAAATCAACTAACTTAGAAGCATGAAATCAGTCAAAAAATGCTATATGTCTCCTTCAGAAAGGTCTTTGTCTTCTCAGGAATGGGGAAGTTGGGGTGAAAGCCTTCCCCTCCTCCACAGTGCCACTGTTAACACAGTCATATCTGTTGGCCTAGGTGGCAAAGGGGCTGGGGTGTCGCCCACCGCTGTAGCCAGCTGCACAGTCTTGGCCGCCTAGCACAGCAGAATTTGGAGCCACTTCAGAATGCAAAAGGTAATCATTGCCCACTCTTTCAGAATATCACTTAGCTGCAATAAACATTTGTAAATTGTAGTACAAAACTAAGTGCCTCTGTTCTTTTGAATAAAGCAGAAACAATACTTTTAAGCATCTACCGTATTTAATCCTAAGTTTATACACTAACTTTAAGTGTAACAGGAAGAGGCCTCTGGACCATGACCAAGGTTTGTGTTTTATCATCAGGATGCACCATCGTATTCACAGACCGCTCTGGCATGAGTGCACTGGGCCATGTGATGCTGGGAACCATGGACGTCCACCATCACTGGACAAGAGTAAGGAAGAGTGCAAAGCATGCAGACCTCTCTGACTTGCCCTCCACGTGCTCTCATTTCAAACAGTGCTATTAGTTCAGCAAAGTGCAGCATTTTAAATCAAAGCTCCAGCTTTTTTAAAGCTGGTAATACTCCATAGCTAGTACTTCAGGGTGAAGATGGATTTTTTTACATTCATTTCTTTCTTTTCTGTGTGTGTGTGTGTGTGTGTGTGTGTGTGTGTGTGTGTGTACAGAAATCAGAGGACATACTGCAGGAGTTGATTTTCTCCTTACACCCTGGTTCCCTGGGTTCCAGGGACGAACTCAAGTCATCAGGCTTTTGTAGCAAGCATTTTTACCCACGGAGCCAGCTCTCTGGTCCATATGTTAGTTTTAAACATTTACAAATAATGGGGCTGGAGAGATGGCTTAGCGGTTAAGAGCACTGAGTGCTCTTACAGAGGACCCAGGGTCAATTCCCAGCACCCACATGGTGGCTACAAACTGTCCTTAACTCCAGTTCCAGGGGAATCTGAAGACCTCTTCTGACCTCCAAGGCATTGCACGACACAGGTGCACTCACATACATGCAGGCACATACACATAAAATAATAAATAAAATATTTAAACACAAATAAAGCTGCTGTAAACATTTTGGTTTGGGTTGGTATGGATTTTTGTTGTTGTTGTTGTCTTTTTGAAGCAGGGTCTCCCTATAGCCCCAGCTGTCCTGGAACTCACTATGTAGACCAGGCTGGCCTTGAACTCACAGAGATCTGCCTGCCTCTGCCTCCCAAGTGCTGGGACTACAGGCGTGCACCACCACGCCCGGCTTGGTTTGGATTTTTGAGAGAGGGTCTCACTATGTATCCCTGGCTGGACTGGAACTCACTACGTAGACTAAGCTAGCCTCAAACTTGTGGCAGTCCTCCTGCCTCAGTCACCCAATTCCTGGAATTATAGGTGTCAGCCACCATACCTGATTTATATAAGTATGTGGACATATATTTTTCATCTCTTGGGTAAATTCTTAGGATGTAATTGCTGGATCATATGGAGATTTTAAATTTTAAGAAAATGCAAAATTATGCTTTCAATTTTGATGAAAAAATTTCAATTTATAGACATTCTAGCAGGTATGTGATACTCTCTTTGTGAGCTTAATTTGCATTTCTCTAATGATAAATGACAGTAAACATATCTTCATGGGTTTATTAACTGTCTTCCCCTGCTTTGTTGGCAAAGTGTCTATTAAAATCATATATATGGTAGAAAATTATTTCAAACCATGTATTTCACAAGGATTTTATATCTAAAGTACATATGATCTCTCAACACTCAGAAGTAAACAAAACAAAAAACCCCACCCAAACAGAAAATAGGCAAGACATGTAACTAAAGAGTACAGATAACAAATACAGGAGCACATGTTCAGAGCCGAGGATGTAGTGCAGTCACAGAGTACTTGTGGAGCACGTGTGAGCTGATGGCTGAATAGAAAATGTTGCTGATGAGGACCCAGAAAACTGGCTCACTCCTACACTGCCAGTGGGAATCCAAACGGTACAGACTCTGGACAGAAACATGGCACCTTCTTAAAACACCAAGTATGCTTGGTGGATAACCCAGCATTTGTATTCCTGGGCATTAACACTGGAAAGATGAAACATTATCTTCATGCAGAAATCTATGGATACATATCCATAGTAGCCCAAAGAAGAAAAAGTCCTTATACCTTTCAGTATGTGAACAGCTAAACAAACGGTGGCACATCCATTCTCAGCCTTGCTCAGCAATGAAGTTGAACTTTTGATGGGTACAGTGACCTGGGTGGGTCCCAATCACATTGGGATGAATTAAAAGTCAGTCTACAGGGGCTGGAGAGATGGCTCAGTGGTTAAGAACACTGGTTGTTCTTTCAGAAGACCCGGGTTCAAATCCCAGCACCCACATGGAAGCTAACAACTGTCCATAACTCCAGTCCCAGGAGATCTGATAGCCTCTTCTCATGTCATTGCATGACATGGGTGCACTCTCCTACATGCAAGCAATATACACATACACATAAAATAAAAATAA